TTCTTTTAAATAATATAATTTGTGTCATTTCACTCTTACAAAGAGGTGGGATCCACATCTTAATTTTTTTGTCAATTCTCTACTACTTTATCTATCTCTTTTTTCTCTTTTAGAATGATACAACTTTACATTTTTTAAAATGACACACGATTCTTTTCTTTTACTATTGTAGTCTGTCTGTAGTGAAATTATTTGCAAGCATGCGAGTATTTCTACCCTCTGAGGCGCGCGCTGACATCGATAAGACTTTTCAAAAGCATATGGGACATCGGTACGGGTAAATTATTATGATACGTTCGAACGGTGGTTGTGTATTCGATGTTCATGTAATACGTGAGAATAAAAATGGATCCCATGCGCAAATTTTATCTGATATGATTATGTAAAATTTTAGAAAATATAATTTTTGATATTGTACAGAAAATTTGTCACATATAATATATAAAAGAGAAATAGTTTTCTCATTTTATATGAAAAAACTCTCTCATGCTACACTCATAATACATAATTGGGTTTCATCTTGCTTTTTTTTGTCTTCTTATCTTTTTATGGACCCCACTCATGTATTGTGTGTACAGTGTAGTATGAGAAAATTTTCTTATGTAAAATAAGAAAATTAATTTCCTATATAAAAATAGATAAAACCATTAAGCAAAAGAGAGAAAAATAAATAAATGAGTTTCATTTATTTTTTATGTGTTTCAAAAGATAAATTATATCATACAAAAAATTATATTCCTATAATTTTAGGCTTGAAAATTTTGTGTCTATGTATTCTTCTTTATAGATATTAATAAATATTGATTGAATCCCACTCATTTAATGAAATTAAAAGAGAGATAAATGCCAAACATGTAAAATTTACACATGGGATCTACTATGCCTGAGAATATGAATAAATTTTTAGTATCAAATACATCAAAAATTCAGTGTATTTGCTCAATTATTTTATGATATATGAATAAAAAATATCTTATCATCTATTTTTTAAAATAATATAATATTTATCACAAAATAAATTAACATATACATGATGCATTAAAATTTTATTCATGAGAATATATTCTGCTACTAAATTCAATGACAAGTTGACAACAACATCACAACCACTTGGCGAAAGCTATAGTACAATTGGATATAATAAAATAATCATGAGCTGCATAATCATACAAAATCAAACCAAATTTCAATAGTTAAAAATAGAGTAACAATTTATCAAAATAAAAAAATAGAATAAAGTATCTTTGAGTTCTAAACAAATATTATTGGACTCAATTTAATCTCTTAAAACAAAGAAGTAAACTTGCGATCCCACTAAAATTCAAAATAGACTCGTATTAATCTTTTTGAGGGATTAATATTGATAGTATTTGAATTTCAAAGGGACCACTATTTCAACTAACTGAGTCTATTTTAAATTTTAGAGGAATCACAAGTTAAATTTTTTTTCTAAAAAATTAAAATGGTCACATAATATTTGTTGAGGACCCAAAATGTATTTTACTTGTAAAAATACTATTCTTTTAAGTTACCTTAAAATTTATCTAACAATTATACAGTTGTCACACATTTTTTAAAAAAAATCAATTCTTTTATAAATGATAGAAGCCTAAAATCAAATGTTTCAATAATACTTTTTCATGTTTGAAATTAAATTTAAAATTTTCCATTTTGAAAGCACTTAAATATTTCAACACTTGGAGTGTTTGGTAGAGGGCTTATTTTCAGATTCGTGAGAAAGGAAAGTGAGAGTGGTAATTCAATTTGTCCATATTTGATAGAAGATTTTTGAAAATTTTCTCGTGAATGTAATTTTTCTGAGATTTTATTTTGTATGTAAAATGTAAATCAAAATATCACCCAAGAATACCACCTAGACACTTTCCCGTGAAAATGAAAAATTAGATGCGAAAATTCTGGTAATATTTTGACATATCGAGAAACTTACTTTTACACCATATTTACGAGAATTGTGATTCTCAGATAAAAACAATATCTTCCATCAAATACTCCGTAGCGCTTCTTCCATATCATTATCGTATTTCAAATAAGGGGAAACACGTCTTGTTATTTGAGTGTAGGGATGGCAAAAACGAGCCAACCCGTCCTAAATGAGTCGGGTTGGGTTGGCCTAAATGAGCTGCCAACCCGACTCAACCCGACCCGATACAACCCAAACCCAAACGAGCCAGCCCGCGGGTCAAACGGGCCAGCTCGCGGGTTGGGTATTTTTTTTTTAATTCAAAAAAAAATATGATTGCATTAAAATAATAATAATAATAATAATAATATGAAAACTCCAAAATCGCCATACGCTCACATCGTCGTCACTCGTCACTTTCCTTAACCCTAAGATTCTTCTGGCCCCTTGGATAGCTTGTTCACCCTGTTACCATTAACCTTGCATCTTTGGGTCTATTGGCCTATTCTCTTAACAAACGCAATCCACTACTCCCAAGATGCAATACCTTTTTTCTCTATATTTCTCATATTTCTTTTTTATTTTACCCCAATATATATATGAAAATGGATTCATTGTTCTTCTTCTATGTTGTTGACATTATAAGATTTGTTACTTCAATCTTTTTTTCTTTTTCCAATCTGGGTACCTTTGAAGAGATCAAAGTTGGAACCTTTTGGCAGTGTTGATAATTTTAGCAGTGTTGGAGAACAAATAAGACTAGATCCACAAAAATCAATTTTTTTGAGCTAACTCGCGAGCCAACCCACTGGCATAATTTCAAGCTACCCCGCGAGCTTTTTTTGAGCCAACCCGCGAGCTTTATTCTGAGCCAACCCGCGAGCTGATTATCAAGCCAACCCTAACCCGACTCGAGTCGGGCTGGGTTGGATTTTCTGACTCGTTTATTTTTTCGGGCCAACCCTAACCCGACCCGTTTTTTACAGGTTGAATGCGGGTTGGGCCGAGTCGAGCCGGGTTGGCCCGTTTTGCCAACCCTATTTGAGTGAGGATATATTTGGCCCCCTCCATTACTTTATAAGTAGAATTCTTTTTTTTAAAAATAAAAAATAAAAACTTCTCAAGCGTGATCCATGTTAAATAATAAAATTTCCATAGCTAGCTCGGCTTATGATGTCAATTGTTAAATATTGAAAAAATATTGGGTGATTTCTAGGGATAGTTTACTCATTAGCTTGTGGGGCACATGCCCTCCATTTAGGTTTTTTTTTTAAGTATATTTAGTTTTTTTTTAAATGTTATATATATACTTACACGTTTTTATTGTTTTTGTCTCTAGAGTTTATGAAATTTGCCCCCACTCTAAATTAAAATAAATGACTGATTAGATATTTAAAACATTAAAAAAATATTGGTTGCTTTCGAGGGACAGATTTACTATTTATTATATAAATAATTCAATGGATAACTTTTTTCCATGTTTCAAAAAACTTGTTGTTAGAGATGTCTAGAACACTAAAAATCTATTTATGGATTAGATACGCTTGAGTTAAGCAGATTATTGTGCACAGAAGAACAATAAACAACTTTGCCAATGGAGTGTGTGAGCACAGTAACATCATAACAATAAGAGAGAGAGCGTGTATATCTGTAAGTTTTACCACTTATTTATAGAGTTTACCGGTGGGTATTGGGTGCTAGACCTTCAGTGCTTCTGCTAATGGCCCAAGTCCGTGTATTATGCTATTGTATTAGGATTAGTATCCTTGATGGATATCTTTCCTTAATTATGTCTGATTTATGTTTGGATTACTCCTTGTTGGGCTTAACAATAATGGGCCTCGTATATGGATCCATAATACTTCTCTCTCTTTTTTTATGATTTTTGTAAACTAAGATAGGATTTGAGCATATGACCTCTTTGCAAGCTATTAAGTTGGTCATAAAGAGAAGAATTTTAGATTAATGGACACACAATCTATGTTGCACCGACACCGACACGGGATACAAAACATGATACGACACGACACTTCGACACATCAATTTTAAAAAATGTTAGATTTCGACATGTTAGGACACATTTTGATATTAAATAATATTTTAAATTTATATAGTGTATATTATATTTAATATTCAATAATTTAACAAAAAATGAAACTAAACTTATAATACCCATCAACTTTGCAAAGAAATATAAGATATCACAAATATTTATATTAAATTCAATAAAATTGTAATTGTAATCCAACGAATCTAATAGTTGGAACTAAAAAAATAACGCAACGCAATGTTCAAACCTTTTTTGAGTCTCTTTAACGAGTGTTGGAGTGTCGGGATATGTCGGACACAACACGTCAGGATTTTTGAAGTGTCGGTACATCATAACACCCAAACCTAATTTATTTTTTTATAAATTTATTCATGCTTACCAGGTTTTATTGTTTTCGTCTCTAGATTTATAAAAATCTGCCTCCACTCTGAATTCAAATAAAGGATAGGATATTTTACTTATTTTTTTCCTTGCCTACTTACTAATTTTGAATAGATAAGATAGACAAGAAAAAAAAGATAAGTAAAATAACCTATCCAAATTAAAAAAAAATCGTAACCTTTAATCATTTGAAAGAAAAATAATTGAATGATTTTATTTGTTTACATTCAAGAAATATTTGAGTATTGAAAAAAACTATTGTAATTATATTTTTATTATTTATACTATTATTATATTTTTTATATTAAAGTAAAGATAAATATTTAACAATTTACTTTTAATACATGTTTTATCTTTGCTTTTCATCTCATTATCCAAATTTTCTGAAGCCGTCGTCACTACTGCTTGTAACATACATAGGAATTTAGGTCAATTTGAGTTAATTTCAAATATAGAAAAGAAAATGAGATGTTTTAATTTGTGTAATCTATATGTTTTTTCACATTTATTTCATATTGTAAGTTACTTTATCTTTCAATATCACTATTATAGAAATGGAGTCACAAAAACTTACTTTGGGGATGCAATACAAAGGATATGGAGACGTACACCCCTTATTCTAAGGTTGAACTTACAGTTTGCATGAAACGAACCAACGCCTCAACAACACTGATTCCATCCTGTTAGTTGAGCCAGCAAGAGGAATAAGGTTCTAAACATTCTAATACAGTAAACAGACAAATCTTTACATTCAATCTTTCTACATCTCAGGATACATTGTACTTTTCTAATCAAGAACCCCTTTCTAAATTTTGTCCTTGTGGTGAAATTCTGAACACTTGCTTGCACTATGAGAAAGTTTATGAGAACTTCAAACCATGCAGCATGATTAGATTAAAAGCTAAAAATAAATATTCTAAACAATTGACTACAAGCCAGGCGGTTTCAATAGAGGAACCATATTAAAAATGCCATCTATGTCTATAGGCAATCCAAGGGCACTGCTAAGGACAGGTGAAGTTGACGTCTTGCCCTTCCAAGTGTTAAACCATGGACCTCCTCCAACTTCTACAGCTGCCATATTGCTTGAAACGTCCAATATGATCTGCCATTTACCAAACATTCATGAGAATGTTCCATGAAACACCAAATGTGAAAACAATTTATATGTGTGAATAAGAATACACCTTCCCCTTGCTGCCATCATATCTTCGTTCCCACATTTGTAATTTTAGAATTCCAAAGCATGAATCTTTACAAGCTTGGGAAAGACCAGCTTCTGCTGTTGGAGCACGCAATGTAGTACCTGGATCCTCTGTTGTTGCTTCTAATTCAACCTGCCAAAATATAATATATTGAGTATGCCATAAGCCAAAAGAAGGCCCCTCTGGCTACTTTGTTTCTCCTGAATTGAGAAGAGTTCAATTAAAGTTGCCCAAAGCCACTCCCACTTGCTAGTATTAATCATATAATCATTAACCTGTTCAGCTCATCCAACTGTTTACCTTATTTTCATTTTCATACGTAATCATCAACATAAATTTAGATTTAGTAGTTTATAGATCTCACTAAATGGAAAATGAGAAGAAAAACTTAAATACCACCTACAAGTCTACAACTAGTGTGTGTGTGTAACATTACCCTTAACCACCAACAAATAATAAAATGTAATCAGAGAGATATAAGTACCACATATCTGCCATTGTCTGCAGACATAAACCAATAACCCCAAGGAGCAACTTCCCAGTTAACAAAACCATTCCACGGCACAAATTCATAAAATTTTCCACCATAATGAATTCCAATCTGCGCCAGTTTGCAACATAGTAAATATTACAAAATTTAAAAAAATTAGATAATAAATAAAATAAAATAAAAAGGTTAAATGCATGTAGTGACCTACAGAAGATGGGGAAAAAATCTTATAAGAGGATTATCATCAATCAACTATCCTGAAAGCTTAAGTTGTTAGGTGAGTACATAAATGGTTTTATATTACATCTCTATTATTTCCCTTATGCAAGAGTCCTTTGGAATTGAAATGTGGACAATGTACCGACTCATATACCTAGTGCTGAAATTTTTTTATTAGAAAAATGGAAGCAATAAGAATTGTATTTTAGACCATTTGGTCATAGAGATCGATACTATGTCATAAAGCAACTATCCAAATTCGAAACCATAAATTGTCAAGTGATGACACATGAATGGTTCTATATTACATCTCTAACAAGGATAAAGAGTGTATTTACCATGACTTGAAACAAAAGAATCACTGTCTACCATTAGACTCACTCATTAGAACATTCAAAAAGAAATATCAACATAATTAAACTACTTCTGGAGAAATCTTAAATTACTCTCCATCACTCATAGTCTCATATGATTGTAAGCAGAGGACAAATGTTTCCTTAAAGTGTCAGTAATGCATAATTGACGATATAAAAAAACTTAGACTATCTTTCATCCTCGTGCAAGAGTTTGTAAAATCAAAAGGAAAAACTAATATGACCAGAGATATGTTATTTTGACAAAAGGAAGGAGAACAATTGAATTAGAGATATGTCATTCCCACCATTTATTTCAGAGGTAATGATGCACTTACAGTTAATCCATTGCACATGGCCCAACCATTGATTCAAGAATCTCAGAGTTTACCAGAGTTGTGGCCCAATTGTTGAAAGAAACAGTGATTTGAAATATAACAAATTACGATTAAATCCAAGTCCCAATAAAGCAGCAGATATGTTTGTGATTTGTTTGGCAAGAAAAAAAAAGCAACACATTTGACGTGATTTGAGATCTAAGATTTGGGAAGTGTTTTGAATGATTTAATTGCAATTATTTATTTATTTTAAAAGTTAATTACTGTTATATTTATTTTAAGAAGTTTTCTTATTTTTAGGATTTTAGATTTTTGAATTTTGGATCAATTTGTAATTAATCTATAAAAATGTGCTTATGAACCTTATTGTATGAGTTGAATTTTATTATTTTGAGAATTAGAAATTGAGAACCAGAGGATTTCTCTTTTGTGAAAATCCTAACTTTCTGTTTAGCCATTTTTCTATGCGCTTTCAGCATCAGGTAATCTTAATATTCATAAAGTCAGTGTAATTAAATTTTGAAAAAAGCCACATTGAATGCCAGATGCTGTATAAAGTTACCAGTGCAGCATTTTCAAAATTCTCGGTTATTCCCGGAATTTGCCTCAATCCGCCAGCTGCTGTTAGTGCAATTTCTCCACTAGCACCTTCAAAAACATTACACTGAACCTGCATGAGACATCAACAGTTTGAGATGCATAAAAATACAAACATTCATCCAAAAATTGGTGAGAATAGTTGAATATCAATATAACAACACAAAAGCATATTAACCTACAATACCTGCCGGAAAAATTCAAGTACACATATCTTAAATCATGATAAAGAGATTGAGATTCCTTTAAGCAAATTATATTTTATGAAGTTATACTTCATGAAGCACAAGTAACAAAAGTACTCCATCTCTTGCAGTCTTCAGGCCTTAATGATTAATTACTACCATTGTTGCCTTCTAGCACTTGTTAAGTACATAGACGTTTGATTCTTCTAAAAAATAATTTTTTTTGAAGAAACAAAGCATTCTAGTAATGATTTTCAAAAGACAAGAAGATTTGAAATCAATTGCATATAACCAGCTATAACCAAAGTTTCATAGCAAGCCATGGAATTGATGTGCTGATGAACATTACAAGATATACTATGATGAAGAAATAAAATATTTACCCAAAACCATTTTCTTGGGAATGCTCCACCCCAGTTTTTTTCAGAATAAGATGGGGCATTATCAAACTCAATCCTCTCGTCATCCCACTCTATCCAACCTGAGATTCAATATTTATATAAGGAAAATGAGAGAGGACATAAATATTACAAACAAGAGTGATTAATTTTTGAAGCATAAATGCACTTCACGAACTGATTATCAAACATGATAGCAATCCAGTCTTAGTAAAAACATTGACCTTGTAAATGTAAATAGCATCATACTCTATCTCTCGATCTCCCTTTTCTTTTCCTGAGTCACATTGTGGCTCTAGCAAACAATTATATCCTTTCAGCATTAAATCTTATTAATGTTTAATATTTTGCAGATAGTAAGTGACTAAATGCCAATCCCTTTGTAAATTACATTAGTAGTTTACTTCCATAATAGATTCATATCAATTGTTCAAACCAAATTATCAAGTTTCAGTTCAAACATAAAAATGTAGGATACTAGACCATGATATAAATAAGATTGAATAGCCAATAGTTGAAAAAGTAGCACATGCCTGTTGACAGTCCACCCGCCATACATATTTGCCAATGTGGTTCAAAAACAGGAAAAGCTGCAAGCCAGCCAGCAGTAGACTTCTGTGTAGACCCAACATCACCCCAACCATATACAGGGCGTGTACTATACTCCCAACGAGCAGTCTTTACTGTTTCTACATAATTTGACCTATAATTAAAATTTGTGTCAAGTAACAAATATAATCAAAGAGGGAATGCTAAAACAGCTATCGAAATTCGCACCTTCCATCATCACAAATGAAACCTTGATGCCAAAGGGGAGTTACTTGAAAACCTTCCAACACCCTATTATTAAATTCCTACACAAAATTATAAATATGCATGATCATCCGAAAACCAAAAGATTCTAGAAGTAACAAACATTTGCACGTTAATTGTGTGGCACGGAAACAGTTTGATTGAAAGATGGTATATAATACCTGAGGCGGAACCTCCTTGTTTGGAGGTCTCGAATTTTGTTTGGCCACGAAAGTGTTCCCCAACACTAGTTCATGCCTGCCTAACCATATAAAAGACATTAACTTTTCAGTTCAAATCCACATAATATGATCAGTCATTTTAGAATTTAAATAAAAAGTAAGAAAAAAAAATTCCAATTTGAAACAGCAAAGAAGAGTGTGCAAATTCTTACTTCCCCAGAAGTGTTGTGATTGCTGAGAGTATTGGCAAATGTACTTGTCATCTGCACCAAGAATTTGTGCCCCAACACCAATAAACCTGGGTCCATATTGGGTCAATTCCAATGGCGTCAATTGCTTAGTAAATGCAGGATTTTCAACCGAATACATAAAGCAAAAGCTCTGTCTCCGTTCCGGAATGGACACTTTGAAGTACCAACCCTCAAAGAATTTCCGGCTAGTCCCATCAAAATGGTACCTAAATGCGAAAAAGTGAAAACCCAAAACCAATACACTAGTAATAGCAACAATTAATTAATTAATTAAAGAAATACCCGCTATGAGGGGTTCGAAGTTCTCGATTTGGAGGTGTGGGGAAGTAAGTAGGTTTGATAGAAGGCACAGGGACAGCTTGTTCCTTATCTTGTGTTTCAATGGTTGTGGGGTCGCCACCGGACACGGAATTTTGAGCTACGACTACGTGGCGCCAAGTTGTTGATGATGGAAAACCAAGTTTAAGAGAAGCATGACGATGATGAAGAAGAAGGGGGACTCTGAGTCTGAGACTGAGACTGAGATTGGAGTTGGGTTTTAAGGTAGAGAAGGGGAAGTGTGTAGACAAAGGAAGAGGAATCTCCATGGATGATTCTCCTCTGGCACTGTCAATGTAGAAGACGTTAAGATTATTTGCGACTTTAGGTTCAAACTACATGACATGCCTACGAACTGGCTAAGTGACAAGTAGCCGTCGATTTATATGACTGCTTACTTACACGTTGCGACATGTTGTTTTGTTGGACTCCTCTCGTTTTATATAACCGACTAAATTATATTTATCCCTTTATCTAATTATTTGTCAACTGAGCTCGAACGGTTTGCTTGAGTAGAGTTCAAATTCTGTTTTAAACAAATTTTTAGAAAATTTTTGAGGGTCAGAGGATGCGTCTCCCTTCTTGATTGGAAAATTAGTCTCATCCTTCATCCGTTAGCAAAGTTCAATACATCCGCTATTCCAATGAGGGGCTAGTCTACTAGACTATACCCCGAGGACAAGGTGACCGGAGGAGGTTGAATGATGGGTTTTTTTACCCTTATAACCTTTAATTAATAATTAATTACCAATTTGACCTTCATTTGAAACTAATTCGAAAATTTAACCCCTTCAGAAAACATAACACCAATCTGCCCATGTTTGACCGTTGACCATGAAGCCTACCTGGGTACACTCCTCCCTACCCTGGTATTTTTTGAAATTTTTACCTACCCAGGTAGAGAGGGGTGTACCCGAGTAGAGTTCTTGAATCTGAAAAAATGGTTGAATTAGTTACCCGGGTAGGAAGGGTTGTACCCGGGTAAACATCAAGAGTAGGGTTTTTATATAACCGAGATGCTAAAAAGTTTCTTTTTCCAATTCATATTCTCCTCGGATTTATATTTCTATCAGGTTAATGAAAACGCAAAAAATTGAAGCACCTTCTGATTATAGAAAACAAAATGAAATTAGTAAAAAATTAATACAACATTACCATGTAATTGTATCCCCTAGTTTCTCTAATCTTCCTCAACTCTTCATCGTTCTCATAATCATTTGGATTCAGCTTCCAGTATAAGAGTCCCAATTCTGCAAAACTCACCATTTTTCTGCAACGTCACAACTAAGTAAAACTATAGATAGAGAGAGAGTAATGACCTGCTAATTGGTTGATGGAAACAAATTCATTAGGGCTGCCATGGTGAGGAAGCCTTGGATCTTCGTTGCTATCGTCCATGAACCATGCCTGTCACAGTTTTTTTTTTTTTGGTACATAGTCACAGTTTTTTTCATTTATATAAAAACGCTACTCTGGATGTTTACCCGGGTACAACCCTTCTTACCCGGGTAACTAATTCAACCATTTTTTCAGATTCAAGAACTCTACCCGGGTACACCCCTCTCTACCCGGGTAGATAAAAAATTTCAAAAAATACCAGGGTAGGGAGGGGTGTACCCGGGTAGGCTTCATGGTCAACGGTCAAACAGGGGCAGATTGGTGTTATGTTTTCTGAAGGGGTTAAATTTTCGAATTAGTTTCAAATGAAGGTCAAATTGGTAATTAATCATTAATTAAAGGTTATAAGGGTCAAAAAAACCTTGAATGATGATACCTCCAAATTGTACCAAAAAAAAAAAAAATTATTCATCTATCAAATAACTTTTTTTCTTTTCTTTATTTATGGGTTTGGGAACGCATAAATAAATCTTATATCCTATGTGCGTTCAGGCCACAATTTTCAAATCCATCGAAATCGTTAAATATTTTGGCATTCAAATTTTACAGGAGAGTTATTGTTTAAGGGTTCTATAAAAGTTATATTGTTGTAATTTTATTTTATTTTTTGCTTCAAAAAATGCGAACCCCACAAAATGTTATGTACATAAGAAACTTTTTGTGGTTTTGTTGCATGATGAATACAAACTCCATTGTTTAATTGTAACAACTAATTCAGGGTAGTAGTACCAACAGGCCAATTAAAACATTCTTGCCTCTGCAATGAACTCTACAATTTGTCAATTTCATACAAAATGTATAATTATAATGTACAAGCTGTTAGGGGAGAAATGCACTATTAAATATTTAAATTAATAGACTTGAGTAGCCACCATTGCAGGTGGAAGATCAATTCTTCTTAATCTACCCAGGCGAAAATTTACTGCTCTCTACAACTTCATTATCAAGAATTTCACCCAAGTGGAAGATGAAGAATGACATCTAGGTTGTTCTTTATAATCCACTTCTGAGGATAGAAGGAATAGGTTGATTCAAGACCAATATGCCAAACCAAAACTCTCGAGCAGTTGTTCATTAAGCCTTCCATTTGGCTCTCATCTTCAACAACCTGCTCAATCAATGTGCTAACCTGCGTACAGAAAAACAAATTCACAATTAATCGAGGCAATATTTCAGGTTGGATGGTTCTGTACGGTCCAAAAAAATTTCTGTCCTACTTGTACTCAAAAGAGAACTAGGAAAAAAGGAGAGCCATAAAATGAGGACATATAGAACAATACCCAACTGCACATTATCAATGTTACCTAATCTGATTAGATACATTTTCCCAGCTTGGGTTGGATACAGAAAATGAAATACTATATAATAGATAAGACTACAAAGAAGAAGATATACTGAGTCACTAACCCACAAACTTTCCTTTACTGAGTCAAGCTGCCTGATAGGTTCAAGAGTGGGTCGGTGCCACTTCTTTGGATCCCAGAGTATCGTACTATTGAAGGCAAAACCTGGCATTTCAGCATGAAATCTTCTAGATTTCGCATTTGATTCGTTTATGTGCCATCCAATTACTCGACTTCCATTACAAATGGGCCCTTGCAAGACAATGCCACTTTTATCCCCTGATAGTCTTGCTACAGTCCACGTTCCAAATCGCCTGTAAATCAAAATGAGGATACCTCCCAACTAATGAAATGAAAAAACCATTGTAAAAGCAAAAATATTGTAGGAAAGAAAAGAAGGACATGCTACCACATTCTGCATAACCCAATTTGATTTAAAAGTGAGAAGTAAATAGCAGAATGATTATCACACACTGCTCACTGTAGTTAATAGATGATTGTTTAAAATTCTAAAACAAATCAAGAAATATCCTTGGTGGGTGGGTGTGTGTAAAAAAAACCACTCCCCGTTTAACCCGACTAGCGAGTGTGGGGTAGAGGAAATCCTTGTACGCAGCCTTACCCTTGCATAATCAAGAAATATCCTTGGTGGGTGGGTGGGTGGGTGGGTGTAGATATAATAAAATTTGTATTTTAGAGGCAACAAAGTTAAGTTTGCCATAATAATGACACCCATATCTTAGGGCCAGTGCTAATTGAGCTACAAGCTTGACGGCTCCAAACCATTCCTTCTATACACAATGAACTCATCTCCATTCCTTTTATTTGGAACTGTAATTATATCTTTCCTCTGTGGCCTGCCTAAATTCATCTATATTTTATTGAAGACAGAGGAATATAGTCAAACGTACATAGAAAGAGGTGCGGAATGGGTGTTTCCTATCATTTTGGAATTGTAAATCTCCTCTATCTAAATAAAGGCAAACATGGTTGATAAAATTTGGTTGCTTATTAGAAGAAAGGAAAAGACTCCCATTCTGCATCACTTTACACTATGCAGAAGACTTTTGCGGATGCAATATATGTAGGTAGTTTCTATTTCAGAAATTCACAAAAGATTATCAACAACGTTATAATGACCCACCCCATACCCCTCCTTCAATAGGTTAGGCAGGAAAATTTTAAACCATGAGTCCGAGTAGAATTAACAATCAGAAATTCAGAATAATTTAAATGCGGGTATAATAAACTGCATCAGAATAGTTCTAGTAAAAGAGAAGGAGAAAGATGTGCAGCAAACAAAATTAATATCCTGGGAACTAGGAATACCTTATTTCTCTCATTTGCTTAAAGAGCTCCACTGAGTAGATGTTATCATCATCTGCAAAGTAGACAATTCCATCAAGGCGATGAGTTTCAATATGAGCTATTGCAACATTTCTCTGAAGAATGCTCCTATGGCTTGTGTTGGTTAGATTCGTTTTGCAAATGAGATGCCTGTACATTATCCCACTATTCCTCAAGATGTCAACAGTTTCTTCAGATTGGGAAGTCATTTCAACAACAATCCACAACAAAGGAGGTGGGACCAATTTGAAAGTTTGTGACAAGCGATGCAAGTAATATGATTGAAATAAATGATTGTATGTCGGGGTCACAATAATGAGCAGCTTCTGAGATGGACCTTCACTGAATTGGCTATCAGAGATATTATATGCCACCCCATCTATCAGTTCCTGTTTTTTCACTGCTGAATTCAAAGTAACATTAAACTTCACGGCCTCATCGATTGGTGGTGTCACATTTATATTCACATTTTCAACTGGCTGGAAATTTCCAACTGCAGATATCACCTCAAAAGAGAAGACTTGATGCTTTGGCATGAGATTCATGGACAAATTCGTTGATGCAAGCGGGATGAGTCCAATAGAAACACCAACCATGAAACAAATGAAAAAATGGAAAAGCACCTTCCTCCAAAGCTGGCCGTTCGGCTTTGATCTATCAAGAGTCCTCAAAGATCTTGTGGAGAAAATGCCAAGCACAAAAGCACAGGAGTATAATGAGCTAACTGAAGAAGTTAACAATCCAGAAGATGGGGGAAAATTCTGAGGACTTGATGAGGACTTAGACAAGGGAGAAGCTACTGAACAGACTTCTAAATTTGCTACAGTTCCAGCTCGAGGCACTGGAGACAAGGTTCTTCTAATAGATGCCATTAACAGAAATCCAAATCAATGTTCAGTAACTCCAAATGAACACCGTGAATACGATTACAGCAGGTATCCAAAGCGATAACAAACTTCTTGTCATTCCCAACCAAAAACAATAATTGTCATGGCCCAAACGTATTCCTCAAGAGCTTTTGCGGGACCATGTTACAGACCCAAAGGTGAAAAATAAATCTGGCATAATAGAACATTGCAAAAGTAAAACAGTTAACCCAACTCTCATTAGAATGTTTATCAGGTTAAATACTTAATTAAAGTAAATGGTAAGCAATCCTTCCAAATTAAATCTTGAGTAAGCCCTCTCATACTATTGTGACCCACTGACCCATATAATGTCCTCTCTGGGTTTGACCAACATAAGTTTACAACAATCTGCAAAACCCATTCCATAATGCGAGTTCTCTGGCATATCCACAAATATCTCAAGTGTCTATAAAACCAAATTGAGTTATTAATCTATAATGAGGAACCCCAAGAAACAACGAAAATGCCGGAAAAAACATACCAAATATCACAGCGTCCAAGATTCAAGATAGCATTTTTAGCAGCCTAACAATCAATACTCGAACAAGTTTAATTACCCAAATGACAGCGTAGCAGAATGGAGCCGCATGATAGTTCCAACTTTGCAACCAAGTGGCACTAAAAGAGTAGAACTATGGTACTCATATGAGAAAGTTACTCTCAGATGCTCGGGGATGAATCAAACTAACTGAGATTCAGGATTCTTCTGAGATCTGAAAGGAAGAAGCTTCAACAATAAAAGAAAACAAACCCTCACAAAAAAATTAAGGAAAAAAATAAAAGAAAAGAGACAGTGATATGTTTCTTTTACTGTGGCTGTCTCTCTAATCTCTATCGCAAGCGAGCTGACATAAGAAAATTAATACCTTTTTTGTCATGTGATTGACCATCTCATTGCGCGGGAATGATTAAGCAAAAGACGGAATAATCAAACGAATCATCTAATAAAGAAAATGGAAGACAACGAATTATTATTTTTCAAAAAAAATAATTAAATATATAGCGAGAAAGTGAGATAGTCATTAATACAAAATGTAGATAATTTTTATTTTTATTTTAGAAATAGAAGGATAATATTGCAGGGAATTGTTTAGGTTATGTTATAAATACAGTGATTATGGGACCCACACTTATTTATTTTTTTGGTTTTTGAAAATAAGTGTGGGTTTCATAATTTGTATCTCTATAATATAACTTAACTACTTTTCTATAACATTATACTCCCCCCCTTTTTTTATATCTTTACGTAATAATTTTATCTCCTTCTATATATATATATATATAGGGTAATGTTTTTCTCCTTTTACATGACACAAGCAATTTTTCTACACAAATATAAAAGTGGGCTCATCAATTCTTTTACTTTTCTTTTATTTTAAAAATAGTGGACCCTACAATTAATTGTCTCTATGACATGACCTAAGAATTTTCTTACAACATAATATTAGTTTTTCCCATATATATATATATATATATATATATATATATATATATATATATATATATATATAATTATGTAGTATCTATATGCGGCTGAAGAAAGAAAGAAAAAATATGAATCTCACATATATTTATATGTATGTAAAAGATAAAATTATCTTTTATAACATGAGAAATATTAATCGCTTGATAAAATAATGTATTAGGATTAACTTATTTTGCGATTGAATATATTTTCAATTAAAAATTCCAGATTGTTTTTAAATTAATCATTATTCAATAGGCTAAGTTTATGATTAAATATATTTTAAGAGCAAGGTTATAGTTACAACCTTTTTTTTCTTACAACCTCTTATAATCATATCTTATCACCGTTGATTTCCGCCAATCAACGGTTATCATTTTAGCAAATTAAACTCGTTAATTAATTATTAATTCATAATAAATGATAACCGTTGATTGACAGAAATCAACGGTGATAAGATATGGTTGTAAGAGGTTGTAAAAAAAAAGTTCTAAATATAACCTTCCTCATATTTTAAATGATTAACTTAGTGTTTGTTTTAAGGGTTTTATAATTCTCAAGTTGAATTGAAATCTTATGTTGTAGAAATAAAAAATATGTGAGACTCATATGTCAGACAAAATTATGTGTAGGACCCACGTCAGCACGGAAATCGAATGGTGTGTAGGAAAATTTTAATTTTCATGTTGAATGAAAATTATAAGACCCTTGTTTTAAATATGAAGAAATTACCAAATGGTTATAGTTGGTATATGGGAGTTGAGTAGGTAGTAAAACGATTTCTATTCGATTCCTACCAATATCATCTTTGAGAGGGGTATAAGATCTTAATTCTTGACTCGCCTGGTACTCAAAATTAGTCTTATAGTCGATTCAAAAAATTGAAGCTTGTGGGGATATATGTGATAGTCTACTCACCTTAAATAAGTAATTAAGATTGGTTAAAAAAGATATAAAAAAATCAAGCTGACATTTATAATTTTTGAAAAACTAACTTCGTATGTTATATAGTTTTTCAAGATTATAATACTGTAGCATGCTAACCATTAAAAAAAAACTACTGGTAGCATAAATTGTTACTATAATGATTAAAACTTTATTTATTTATTCTCCGGGTAATTATCTTAATTATTTGAAGTAGAAATTTTTTTAAAATTTTTTAGATGATAAATGTGTGGATAAAACTTTTTAAAAGTAACTTTATCTCTAAAGTTAATAGGTAAAAATATATTTAATTTAAGGGAATATTGTTTATGATATTACATGAGACAAATTTGTTTAATGCAATACATAAAAAAGTGCCTCATGTAATTTGAGAAATAATATTTTCTTAATTTAATATACATCATAATGTTAACCAATTAAAATTTAGTAATTAATATATCTTTACTTTTTGTAGAAGAGTTTGTTACTAAATATTAATACCTTTCGTTTAATAATTTTATTGTTTATTTTTTAATACATATGTCAATGATACTTTTATGGAATTAATGTTGGGTTCGCTTTTTCTACAGTTACTGCAGATAAGTTATCTGCAATTAGTTCAATACGACGTCGTTTTGGGACGAAAATCATGATATTTTTGTGATTTTAATATATTTCAGGGGTATTAGTCTTTATAATTATAATTTTTTAATATTTCAATCTTAAATTGATGTCGTTTTGGAAGTAAATACAGATAAATTATCTGCATTGCAGAAATATTTTTCTGATTAATGTTTCTCTTGTCACATTATTTAAAATGATGTAACTTTGGTGTTTAAAGTTAAAATTAATATTTCAATAAAATTTATCAGAAAAATAAAATTTCCAAAATACTCTTTATTTTTAGTTATAAATATCAGAAGATGTCGTTTTAGAATTTCAAGAATAATTTCCAAAAAAAAAATAAAAAAAATCAAGAAATAACTTTATGGACTTGCAACTTCTCATTTTGTATGAGAAATTAAAACTTTTCTACTCAAAGAGAAAATAACGAGACCAACTTAAAAAAATAAATAAAAAATAAAAAATGATTGAGACTCATGCAATATAAAAAGTCATTTTCTCTAACTTTATATAAAATTATAAGAGAAACACTTTTCCCCACTTTTATGTCAAATTATTAATAATAGTAATAAATAAATAAATAAGTAATATATGAAATAACTTTTTGTTTTTTTATTTGGATTTAATGTTTATATAATAAATGTGGATAAATTATTTATATTCACTCCAAAAATGACGTCATTTTATATTTAAAGATTAAAAAATTATAATAAAAAGACTATTATAATCTTAAAATAAATTATAATTACAAAAATACTTTGATTTCTGTTCCAAAACGAGTTGTTTTGAATTTGATATAGATAATTTATTTATATTGACCGAAAAAAACAAATTTATTTTATGTGATAAGATAAATCAAATTATCAATTATGGAAAGTTGTTTTCCACGCAATGAATTGTCCTTTTGCAAGCACCAACACTTTCTGAATAGGTTTCTGGCTTTCTGCATATTGACGAAGCTGACATTACTAATTAAAAAACTCCGTGAGCAAATCGTAAGCTTTCAAGTTGAAGAAAGCAGAGTATTTATAACAACAAATTTGTATAAATAATAAGTTTAAATGAATTTGTGTTTTTTAACAGCAAATTCGATGATTATAATATATTTTTTATCTAGATAATATAATATTCATAAATCGAAATTATACCATCAAATTAGCTAAGAAAAACATAATACAAGAAAAACAAAAAATTTATATTATAACAAAGACGTTAATAATTTATAGCTCATTTATCGCTAAAAAGCAATAAAACATTATTATTTAATTAATTAATATAGCATGATACGGACTACATGAACAAAAATATTAAAAAAATATATAACACAAATAGAGAAGTATGTGTTTCATCCTATGTATAATCTCAGAATTTGAAGTTTTGAATTATTAACATGCAATCAAAACTCTGCGTTTTAGTAGAAGCCGGCTTTTATCTTCCCTAAACAACGTGTTAGACCGCGAAGGGTACAATACAACTCTCTCACTCGGCTCTTACTTACTCTTCAGATCCGTGGGTGTGGCTGCATCGCCATGACGATGGCGATTAGGGTTTATCTCATCGTTTTACTCTTTCTCTTATCTACCAATCTCATCTCTTCGCTTTATGAAGATCAAGTAGGCCTCATGGATTGGTGAGTTCAATCACTTTTATCTATTCATACGGTCAACGCTTATTCATCACTGGATGCCACCTCAGCTGGTGTAACGATTCGATTTGTTTTAATTCCATTCCTTCAAATTTTACTCTAATTTGTTCTCATCCTTGATTTGTAATTATCGCCCTGGAACCTCGATCTTACTTATTTCACCTACGAGTTCATATCCTTTATAATTTGAAACTTGTTATAAAATCTAAAGTTTAATTAATCTGTTGATCAATTAACATCTTAGCGCAGAATCGAGTTTATGTTTAGATGTGGAAAACTCTGGTTCTAATGCTTGATTTGCCTCTT